GTAGTTCTCTGTTGATGTGCTGTTCCAGTCGTTTTTGGATAATCTTCAGTAAAATCTTGCTTGCATGTGAAATCAGTGAGATTGTTCTGTAGTTTCCCCATTCTGTTGGGTCACCTTTCTTACAGAACTTAATTTTTATCATAAAAAATGAGATGACTTGCATTATCTCATTGCATTGAAAATGCTTTTAAAAAACCCTCTACAATTAAAAGTTGCATGCTTCTTAATATTACTGCTTTTCATCCCAGTCTTGTTATTGCTTAAACCCATGATTATTGCCACTCTAAGCTGCAATAGAATAATGATAAGAGAGCAACGAACAATCTCATTGCAGTTCTTTGAGACAAGAACCATTCCTGGTGCTTGATCAGGGTTTAACTCAAACTCATTGCTGTGGAGTCAGAACTGACTGAAGTCTGGAAATCATGGGAGACTAGACATCTTTCTCCCAAAGAGCTGCTGACAGAGAGGCGCTGCCTCTGGGTTAGCAGCACCCCCTACAGACTATGCCACCAGAGCTCCCTCATCAGCATGCTGTTGAAGCTGTCAAGCCAACTACAGCTCATATCAACGCTTTAAACAGCATGGAAACCTTGTTCATCCTGTGGGATGCTCACATCTCTGCCATGCCTGAGTCCTTCTTACAAGATACATTGTGTCAGTATATCTGGTTGAGGGTCTTCCTCTCTTTCACTCCACTCAGCTGTCCCAGCGTGGTCCTCTTTCTCAGAGACTAACCCATTCTATTTACATGCCCAAAATATGTGAGACAAAGTTCCACAACTCAAAGGCAATGATTCTCTTTTTGTACGTCTTTATTCATTGTCCAACTTTCAGATATATAGGAAGCAACTAAAAAATACCATGGTTTGGATCAGACGCACCTTAGTCTTTAAGTTGATATCCTTGCTCTGTAGCACTCTGGAGAGGTCCTTGGCAATCACTTTTCCCAGTGCAACATGTCTTTTGATTTCTTGATTGTACCAACATGGAAGTGAGAGATGTATTCCCTCCATTTTATGTAGGGCAATGGAACTGGATCTGGGGTGTTACGCAGTATGCTGAAGCTCACAGAGAGCCAGAATTTAGACCCAAGTTGGTTGGACTTTAGAGCTCTCACATTTTCTGAAAGCAGATTTCAGTGTTTATGTAAATAACCCAATGTCATTGTCTCAGCCTGGATTTACCCCTTCTCATTCCACAGTCCTATTTTAAGGCAGAGCTGCCGAGTTCTAACTAAACATGGGTCAGCCAGCCCAGGGCTGGGTTTTTAGTGTCTCAGCTCAGTCTGGCCTCTGTGGGCTTAAGAGGGTTCTTTGTGTTTCAGCCACCCGCAGCACGCTGACCTGCATGAGCAGGGAGTTCAGGTGTGAGGACGGCGAGACCTGCATCGTGCTGTCTGAGCGCTGCGACGGCTTCCTGGATTGCTCGGATGGAAGCGACGAGAGGGCCTGCAGTGGTGGGTACCACTCTGAGGACGGCTTGGGCTGTCACCAGCTCTCCAGAACATGGCCTGAGCTCGTGAGCCTCAAGCTAGAACCTCTCGTACCTTTTCCCACATCTGAAAATAAGACTAGCTTGTTGCCGGTTTGGAGTACCATGTTTAGTGAGACTTGGTCCAATTTCGATGGAACTCCAGCTAGCCTCCCTCAGAAGGCAGGCCTGTTGATCTGCCTTGAAAATCCTGCAGAGTGATTTCATTCTGCACACTTAAGGGTCACTGTTAGCGAGAAGCAACTTGACAGCAGCTAACAACACGCCTCCCCTGACAGAGGAATGGTGGTTTTAGCTGTGTTTCAGATGGCCTTTGACCCCTCACCATGGCTCTGTGGGGTGGATTAACCCTCTCCTTCTGTCTGGAGTATATCTAGTAGTGGATATTCCTATGATCTTGTCTCTGGATCATTAGCGTTTCCTATTGAGAAACAGGTTCTAATTACCACAGGCAGCAAAGAGGTAAATGCAAGGGGAAAGATGACTGGAGATCCAGGAAGGAGGTTTTAACTAGGACGGTTTGTTTTTTTGTTTTTGTTTTTGTTTTTAATTCCTTTTAAGATGACTGGCTTCCTGGTCCATTCAGTCATGGTGACCTGTGACATTGACTGATGCATGATGACCTCACGTGTGTCAGAGTAGAACCATACTATTTTCAGCAGTAGATGAGTAAGCCCTCCTTCAAGGGCACCTCTGGATGGACACAAAACTTCCAGTCTGTGAATTAGGATCTGAGTGTGTTAACAGTTTGCATCACTCCGGACTCTTCCTAAAAGTAGGGTATCTCATGTTGTTGATGTTATGTGCTGTCGAGTCACATAGCGACCCTATGTACAACAGCCCTAAACTCTGCTCTGTCCTGTCCCAGTCATGCTGTCTCTGATACTCCCATCCCGATTATCCCAGTCACTGAATCAACCCACCTCATAGAGGGCCTTCCCCTCCTGCGCCATCCCTCCACCCTCCCAAGCATGATGTCCTTCTCTAAGGACCGGTCTCTCCTCACAACATGTCCAAAGTATGTTAGACGGAGCCTCAGAATCCTTGCCTCCAAGGAGCCACCTGGTTTAACCCTTTCCAGGATGAATCTGTTTGTTTTCCTAACAGTCCATGGTATTCTCAATACTCTTCTCCAGCACCACAGCTCAAAGGCATCAGTTCTCCTTCTATCCTCCTTGGTCATTGTCCAACTAACTCTCTGATACATAACAAGTGATTGCAAAGACCATGGCCTGTATCAAAGGGTATCTCATGAGTTCTTTGAAATCCAAGGATCTGTAGCAGTTAACTTTCTTTTACTTTCCCTTTTCCTCTAGATGAATTAACTGTGTACAAAGTGCAGAATCTTCAGTGGACAGCTGATTTCTCCGGGGATATAACGCTGACCTGGACGCGGCCAAAGAAAATGCCTTCTGCTTTGTGTGTCTATAACATCTACTACAGGTGAGCCTCACCTTTGCCGTGGTGCATGAGCACGGCACCCTCATTGCCACCAGGTGCTGCTCATAGTCCAGTGTGACTTTGTACTGAGTCCTGCTGTGTAGTCACCGTGCTGCTTCCGTCTGACCATCTCTTTATTCTTCTGCCCAGGGTGGTTGGAGAGAGCATATGGAAGGCTCTGGAGACCCACAGTAATAAAACAAGCACTGTCTTAAAAGTCCTGAAACCAGACACCACCTACCAAGTCAAAGTGCAGGTCCAGTGTCTGAGCAAGGTGCACAACACCAACGACTTTGTGAACCTGCGGACTCCGGAAGGACGTGAGTGCACGTGTTGCTTGCGTGCAGTGCTAAGAGGCTCTTTAAGAGTTCCAGAACGCCCGTCCGCTAGCATGCTCAGGAGGATGCAAGCACAGCTTTTGCATTCTTAGTTTCATGCTCTTACCTGAGTTGTTAAACATTTATTTTCTATATTATGCTAGATAATATTCTTCTATTTTAAGATGTTAATTGCAGATTCTCTCTACCACTGCACACCTTTTCATTTCCTGTTTAGTGCCTGCCTCCTTCCTTTCTTCTTGAGGTTTCTTCCTAGTATTTGCTGTTTCTTCCTCTCACCATTGTTTAAAAATATCAGGCGTCCAAAAAAAAAAAATATCAGGCGTGTCTGAGATGTATTGTCCAGCATCCGTCTGTTGGTTTGTTGTACCTTTGGGCCTGTTGTGTTGCTGTGATGCTGCACGTTATGCCACTACTGTTTCAGACACCAATAAGGCCACCTGTGGTAGACTGGTTTCAGTGAATTTTCCTGTCTAAGATGCTTTGAAGAAAAGCCTGGCAACCTATCTTTGAAAATTAGCCAGTGAAAACTCTCCTGACTCACAGGCTGCTGTGTGACACTTCATTCAGCTTGCTTGGTTTGGGAGGTGCCATGTGAAGGGACTGATCACTGGAGAAGGATATCATGTTTGGTAATGTGAATGAGCAGTGAAGCTTGATGAACCTTCAGCAAGACTGTAACAGTGGATTCCAATGTGCCAACAAGGAGAGTGCAGGACCAGGTGACGTGTCATTAAACTTAGGGCTCTTCGAGTCAAAACTGACTTGAGAGCAGCTAGCAACCAAAGAAGAAATAGTGTGCCTTTTCGTAAGAACCAGACCCAAATCCACGTGTCTAAAAAAGTTCCTGTATCTGCCTCTGACTTCAGAGTGGTTGAGGTCGGGTGATTATTTGCTTTCTTCATTGACTGATGTAGTTTATTTACCTCTCATTTGACAACTGTCATTGAAATGTTTCTATTTCTGATGTTCATTCCACTGGTGTTTGCTAAGCTGCCACTGAGTAGATTCTGAGTCATAATTCCCCTCCCTGAGGTTTCAGAGACTATAAGTTTTCATGGGAGGAGGGGAGCTGCTGCTCATTTTCTTCTGCAGAGAGACTAGTAGGTTTGCACCCCCGACCTTCCACCAGGGCTCCTAAACACCTGCTTTTTCAGACGAAGCCCCAGAATCCTTGCCTCCAACGAGTAGCTTGGTTTAATCCTCTCCAAGATGAATCTGTTTGTTTTCTTGGCAGTCCATGGTACATTCAGTACTCTTTTCCAGCACCACAGCTCAAAAGCATCCACTCTCCTTCTGTCCTCCCTAGTCATTGTCCAACTCTCTGATGCATAACAAGCGATTGCAAAGACCATGGCCTGTATCAGGCACACCTTAGTCTCCAGAGAGACTCTGTTGCTCCTGAGTACTTTAGAGAGGTCCCTAACAGCAGAGTTTCCCATCGCGATATGCTTTTTGATTTCCTGACTGCTGGTGCCAAGAGTGTTGACTGTGGAGCCGAGCAAACTGAAGCTGTGAACACTCTCAATCTCTTCATCATCCATCCTGATGCTGCCAATTGGTCCAGTGGTGAGAATCTTTGTCTTCTTGACATTGAGCCTCAGTCCATACTGAAGGCTGCAGTCCTTGACCCTTCGCAGCAAGTGCATGAGGTCCTCCTCAGTTTCAGCAAGCAGGGTTTTGTCATCTGCATAACGCAGATTGTTAATAGATCTTCCACCAATCCTGATGCCACAATTCTCCTCATAGAGCCCAGCTTCTCGGATAATCTGCTCTGCATACATGTTGAAAAGGTATGGAGACAGGATGCATCCCTGGCGTACACCCCTCCCAGTTTTGAACCATGCAGTGTTACCCTGCTATGTTCTGACTACTGCCTCTTGGTCCAAGTATAGGTTTCACATTAGCACAATTAAATGTTCTGGGATTCCCATTCTTCTCAGAGTCAGCCACAGTTTGTTATGATCCACACAATCAAATGCCTTTGCATAATCAATGAAACACAGATAGACATTCTTCTGGTATTCCCTGCTTTCAGCCAAGATCCATCTAACATCAGCAACAATATCCCTAGTACCACGACTGTAGTAGGATTTGAGATCAGAAAATGTGATGCCTCCCCCCATATTTCTCTTTTTTTCAGTAGTGTTTTCCTTATTTGAGGTTTCCTTCCATTCCAAATAAAGTTGGAAATTGTCTTTTCTATCTTGTTGAAGAACAGAATTAGTATCTGTACTGAGATTGCCTTGAGCTTGTAGATTGTCTTTCTTAGCTCAGCATTTCTTCCCTTTGTTTTGCCCTCTCTACACTCTAGTACAAACAAGCATGTCTCAAACAAACAAACAAAAAGGTGAGAAAAATCCCAAACTGTCAAAAAAGAAAAAACAAACATGTCTTGGAGAATGTGCAATCAGGGTGCTCCTTAGAGGTGAGGGTGACAAACCATCTTACATATTTTGGACGTGTTGTTAGGAGGGACCAGTCCTTGGAGAAAGACACCATGCTCACAAAGGTGGAGGGAAAGAGAAGACCCTCTAGAAGATGGATTGACACAGAGAGGAGTTCCAGTGAATCAGAGATGGTAAGGATGGTGCAGGATAGGGCAGGGCACAGACCTGTTGTTTACAGTGTCTCTATGAGTCGTACTTGACTCAGTGACACCCAACAACAACAGTGCTCTAGTGCAATTTTAAAAATAATTTTAATGAAAATTTACAGAGATTTTGGATTTCCATTCATTCATTGCTGCACTTCTTTCCCCGCCCAGTCCTCTTCCCCCCCTCCCCCAGTTCGCTCCTCTCTTTGAAAAGTAAAAGAAACAGGAAAAGTAATTATGATTCAATTGTGAGTACTGACATTAATGCTAAACTAATGTTATAGAACAAAATGTGTATGGATTGTTGACTGGAAAATTCACTTACTCTGGTTAGTCAAATCACAATAAAAATTTAAATTAAAAAAAAATAAAAAAAATAAACACCTGCTTTTGCCATGTTAAAGATTCAGACATCAAGAAGACTCAGGTCCTGTCCTTAGAGGTCTGGCAGGTCACTAAGGATGCATGGATATTCTTCTGTGGGTTATAACATGGTTGATTAGTCTCTGTGGTCTGAAGGAAGTTGGACTATCAGGCATGTGGACTTTCAGTGTGGCTCTGAAGGCAGCCACAAAAGAAGATCCATCAGTGTTTTGAATGGAGGTGTTCACTGAGGCATCCTCTTCATTTAGATGCAGAAGTTCTGTGATTCTTGTAAAGAAGTCTCATTCCTTTATTGTCATACCTGCACTTCTCTATTCTGTGTAAGAAGTTGAGTTGATGGGTGTTGCCTTTGACAACAGAGCATTGAAGTCCCAGGACAGAGGCGATTGAGCCTGCCTAAGTGATTCCATCTTGTATCATCGCACAACTTGATATCAAAATAGGTGCAGCTATGATCTGATGGGTAGACAGTAGGGAGAGAAATCAATTGCTGTCCTTACCTGTGACTCATAGTGACCTTATGCACAACAGTGCAAATCAGTGCTCAGTCCGTTGTTGTTCTCATTGGCAGGTCCATGTCCATCTCTGTGGCTCTTGTGCTAGTCCATCTTACCGAAGGCTCTCCTCATTTTTACTGATCCTCCGTTTCACTAAATGGGATGTGTTCAGCAGCTGATCCTTTCTGGTGCATGTGTTCAAAGCAAGCAAGTCAGGCCATGTTCTGCTGGGATTCATGGGTTTCAGAAATAGATTGCCAGACCTTTCTTCCTGGTTTTACTGGAGAAGTTCTGCTGAAACCTGCCACCATGGGCGACCCTGCTAGTGTTTGAAATAATGACTGTGTAGCTTCCAGTTTCATAATAACACACAAGGCACCACAGTATGATAAAGTCTTGAGGTAATGGAGGTGGATAGTATATTATTTTTGTTTTTTTAATTATTTCATTAATTTTAATGAAAGTTTACAGAGACTTAGGTTTCCAGTCATTCATTGTTGCTCTTTTCTCCCTGCCCACCTTTTCCCCTCCAATTCACTCTTCTCTTTGAAAAGTAAAGGGAAAACTCTTTCCCTCCCCCCAAGTCCACTCAACTGTGCAGCTGGACAGTGTATTCTTGTATTCTGGAGGAAGAGTTTGGGTCAATCTGATGGTCAAGCTGATGTCCTTTTCTTATAGATAGGTCCCAGTATGAGCTTCTAGATTCTTTCCTGTCCAAATTTCAAGCTTAGGAAAATTTCTAATTATTAATACATAAGGATGCTCTAACTCCCAGTGAACTCTTTTCTAGTGCCAGACGCCCCTCGAAATCTGCAGTTGTCACTCTACAGCGAAGCTGAAGGTGTGATTGTGTGTCACTGGACTTCTCCCGCCCACACCCATGGCCTCATCCGAGAGTACATAGTAGGTGCCTTTGTGTGCTCATCCTGGGCCGAGGGAGTGAGAGTCCTGGTGTTGGAGCAGGATCGAGCTCTGTGTGACTAGGAGTCATAAAGTCACGACTCGGCCGACCAGGGCATTCCACATCAGCCTTCCTCCTACACCCCTTTCTGTTCCTGCAGCCTTGAGGGGATGCCCAGACATTTGCTAACCTTTATTGTTACACTACCAACTCAAAGACCACCTCAGATCCACTAATAACTCCTTAGGAGAAAAATGGGCAGACTCTTTCTATGCTGTTTATCACCTCTGAAAACCCACTGGGGTGTCAATTATGATTTGGTTCTGACTCAACGACAATGAGATTTTGAGACTGCTGTCAAGTTGATACTGATTTAGAGTCATCTGATTTCTGAGGTTGTAAATCTTGACTAAGAGCTGACTCTCCACTGGGGTTTATAAGGCTTGTAAATTGCACAGGAGATGACCCAACTTTTACCTGCAGAACCACTGGTGGGTTCGAACTGCCAGAAAGGTACCACCTTTGGGTTAGCAGGGTGACTCCCTACTGTCTACACCACCAATATATACAATATGTACTGAGAGTTTACATGTACGTGTGTGTGTGTGTATAAACTCAGCGCTGTCAAGTTGAAGCTGATTCCCAGTTGACCTGTATTGGACTTCAGAGGCTATGAATGGCATGGGAAGGAGATTACCCATCTTCTCTCTGGGGCTGGTGGTGAGTTGAACCATCAGAGAGATGCAGCTTCTGAGTTAGCAGCTCAACTCCTTACAATCTACACCCCCAGAGCAATCGTATATAAAAACATCCACATAACGCACACATATGTATATCTCTGTGTGTGTGTATGTATACAAAACAAAACTATACCGTTTTAACTGTCTCCATTTCAGTGACACAACTTTCACCATATGGTACTACCATTTCTGTTTTCTATTTCCTAAAAATCTTACCTTGCCTCAAACAAAAGCTCAGTCCTTTTCAGCAACACCTCCCATTCCCTCCTACCCCAGCCTTTGGGAACCCCTAGAAGCTTCTGTCCCTACAGACTTCTGAAGGTGCCTGTTCCGTATTTATCCTCTGTAACTGATGGTTACAGTCTGGTAGTTTATTTCTGTGGCGGGTGGTGCTCGGCATGCTTTCAGGTTCATCCCTGTGGTACCGTAAATGAGAACGTCATTTCTCTTGGCTGAATATGTTCCCAATGTGTCTTCTCCTCCTCCTTGTAGGTAGAATACAGCAGGAGTGGCTCCAAGATCTGGTCCTCCCAGAGGGCTGCTACCAACTTCACAGAAATAAAGGACTTGCTGATCAACACCCTCTATACTGTCAGAGTGAGTGCCAGCTTCTGTTTCAGCCAGAGGGGTGGTTTGTACAGTTGCATTTTACTAGGACTTTATATATGTACAAGATATTACTTTAGAAATTAATAACTAGAAACAGAACTTTAAAATATAACTTCATGTACTAGTAGGCATTTCTAATGTACATATACACATAGGCATATGTGGTACGTATTGTTGTGGTTGTGTACCTTCATGTCTAGGCCAACTCATAGCTGACCCTCCAGTAGGTTTTCAGAGTCAGTAAATCGCATGAGATGAGATTGCCCATTAGTTTCTCATGGAACAGCTGGTGGATTAGAACTGGATCCCTTTGCGACTGCAACACAGCTTCTTACCACTAGGCCACCAGAGCTCCCTTGTATATAGTGGTGATCTGCAAAATCTCCAAACCCTGAGGTCTGATTTTCTTGCAAAAATGGTGTATGGAATGGATGCCACAGCAAACTTGAAACCAGATTTCCCTTAAAGAGCTAAAAAGAAAAAGAATAGAACTTTTGCCCCAGATGTGTTACTACTTTTCTAAAGTCTGTACTTTTGTACCCATGAGTTTTCCCTTAAATGGCTGTAGGTGATAAAGACCTATAATAAGTACCATTTATGAACTGATATGGTGGGGATATGAACTTTATCATTCATATTTAACAAAATGGCGCTAGATTTTGTGGAAGACTTGTGGGTTGAGGCCATCAAATGCACCTGCCCGAGAAGCCCATACATTGATAATTTCCTCAGTGTCTTTTAAAACGACACTTTGTTTTAGAGCCATTTTGAGTTTATGGAAGAATTGCACAGATGTAGAGAGAGTTCTCTTATGCCCCTTCCCTCCCCCAACACCATTTCTCCTGCTGTGAACACCTTATATTCCTGTAGTGTATTTGTTAAATTGTTGAGCCTGTATGGGGAAATTACTTTTGACTGCAGTCCATGATTTGGATTAGCATTTACTTGTACATAGGCTGTTGTACAGTCTGTGAGCTTCCACAAATGCATGATGTCATGTATCCATTATTAGAGCATTCTGTAGAGCAGTTTTACTCTCTTGCAAATGCCCTGTGTCTCATTGCTCCCCTCAGAACTGTGTGTGAAGGCGTGTGTGCACACATACACACTCCTGCTCTCTACAAAACTGTCAGCATCAGTCAGTTAGTGCAAATGCCATGATTCAGCACTATTCACACTTCCCTTTAGGCAGATCCATTCCTTTCATCCCTTGGCCTTCTCCCTTCAGTTACTGAGACCTCTGATTACCCTTGAGGGGGACACTCTGTTAATACATTTCCCCCGCCTCATTGCCTAACTCTCACCTGTTTCTCTTGTCCAGAATTCTTGCTGTTTGGTATATTACCTATATTTCACACAAATTCACATTTTGCTTTGATAAGGTGGCTGCAGTGACCAGTCGTGGAATAGGAAACTGGAGCGATTCTAAATCCATCACCACCGTAAAAGGAAAAGGTAAGCGATTCCAGTCCCTGCCACTTTAGAGATGGTAGAAACCTTTTGGAGATAGCTTTGAGTATGACTGGGGAGCGGTGAAGCATGGACTAAAAACTCCCATTCCTGGTTATCTTCACGGTTTTCTGGCTGCAAAGTCTTTTGGGGTGGCTGCTGAGTGTCTTCTCGTCTTGGAATTGAGCATTTCTTATAATGCAGACACAGAGAGGATTCCCCCAAGGTCGTTTATGGAAAGGTGCTATATAATATTTGCTGTACCAAAATAGTGAGGCATCCTTCCTTCCTTACAAAGATAAGATGATTTTATACGTTTGCTTCTGAGGTTTTAAGAAAGTAATCTTGCTGGTGCTTGTTACTTCTCTCACTGATGCTAGAGAACTGCATGTAGGTGGTTATTTCTGGCATCAGAGCTAGTATTAGTAACAGCTGATGGTGTGGCAGGAGTCAGGCACTTTGGAGTAGGTATCAGTCAGGGTTCTCCAGGAAAACAGTAAGATTGCTCAGTCTTGCTCTTCAGGTACTGAAGAGCAATATAATTGTGGGCCTTGGCTGTTGTGTGGTGGTTGTAATGTGTGTGGAGTCCACTCAGACTCATAATGACTCTGTGTACAGCAGGTGGGAACCCACCCGATCCCGCACCATCCTCTTGCCTCTCCGTTGCCAGGCGCATTGTCAAAAACTCGCTCTGTCCATCCGATTCACTGAAGTCTTTCCCTCTTTCACTGACTCTCCACCTTTCCAGGCATCGTATCCCCACCTTCCAAGGACTGGCCCCTCCTGACAACATGCCTTAAGGATTGTAGGGTTGGCCAGGACAAAATTCACAGAGCAGACAAACTTGGAACTCTAGCATTCTTTGGTCCAAAATCTGTAGGCCAGTTTGATGAACCTGGAAACCACAAGCAAGATGGCTATTGGACAGTCTTGAGACAGTATCTTTTCTTCTTGGATGCCTCAGGTTTTTGGTTCCTAAGGCCTTCAACCGATTAGGTAAGGCCCAGCCACACTATGGAAGACAGTGTGCTTTATTTACAGCCAATAGATTTGCACGTTAATTATATGGAAATACCTTCATAACAACATCTCGACTAGTATTTGACCCACTAGTTACTAAGCCTTGCCAAGATGACAAAGAAACTGAATGGTCCTGGCATGCTCACTGCTTTGCATACATTACCTCATCTAATTGAACAGTAGATAAGGAAATAGAGCTCATGTCACCTGCCCCAGGTCACACATGTAGTAAGTGGCAGGTTGAGGATTGAAACTTGACTCCTGAGCCTGTGCTCGTCAGCCTTGTGCAGTACTCCTTCCCTCCTACCTGGGCAGGAGGTCTCTGTTCTGCCCCAACCTTCTCTGCTCTGGCCTTGTCCTGTCATCCTCTGCTCCTGCCCCATCCCATTATGCTCCACGCCTGCCTTGTTGCATCCTCTACTCCTGCCTTATCCCATCTTCTGCTTTGTCCCATTATGCTCTGCTCCAGCCTTGTCCCATCCTCTACTCCTGTCCTGTCCCATCATGTTCCGCTCCTGCTTTGTCCCATCCTCTACTCCTGTCATGTCCTATCTTGCTCCACTCCTGCCTTCTCCCACCTTCTACTCCTGCCGTTGTCCAGTCATGTTCCACTCCAGTCTTTTCCCATCCTCTACTCCTGCCTTGTCTCATCCTCTACTCCTGTCCTGCCCCATCATGCTCCTCTCCTGCCTTCACCCATTCTCTACTCTTGTCTTGTCCCATCATGCTCTGCTCTTGCCCTGTCCCATCATCCTCCACTCCTGCCTGGCCCTGTCATCCTCCACTCCTTCCTGGTCCCATCCTCCTCCATTCCTGCCTTGTCCCATCATCCTCCACTCTTGCCTGGTCCCATCATTCTCCACTCCTGCCTTGTCCCATGGCCCTCTGCTCCTGTTTTATCCCATCATCACATTCTCCTGCCCTGTTTCATCATCCTCTGCTTCCTGCTTGCATGCATGCTACATGGGACAGAGTGGAGTTGCTGCCTTTGCTTCAGTCTCACTGTTATCTAATGAAAAGCTTGCAGGATAAGAACTAATGAAATCATTGTTGAATGAGTGAGTTGAAAAGTGAGAATGAAAAGTTTTGGCAACTTGGAAGATGTAGTATGCCTCATATTTCTGAGTTATTTTTGTGATCTTATCAAATCTCTAGAGTTTGAGCACCTTGATTCTAGACTTACAGTTATTAAATTCAGAAGGGCACTTGTGGGTGTGGGACCTGGGTGGGACATTTGACTAGAACCTAAGACTTGAGAGACACCAGCTCTGGAGTTCTACAGTGTGATTGTCTGTTATGTGCTGTCGAGTCACCTGCAACTCATAGCAACCCTATGTACAACAGCTCTGAAGCCTGCCCTGTCCTAAGCCAGTCTCACTGACTCTGACACACCTACCTCCATTGTCACAGTTATTCTATCAATCCATCTCATCTGGGATCTTTCTTTCCTGTGCTGTTCAACCACCCTTCCAAGCATGATGTCCTTCTCCAATGACCAGTCTCTCCTGGCCACGTGCTCAACAAAAATGAGACAAAACTTAAAAATCCTAGCCTTCCAGGAGAAACTTGGTTTCACTCTTTTCAAAACAGACCTATTTGTTTCGTTGGCGGTCCATGGTATGTTGTCTCTAATATCAGTTGTTGACTTTAAAAAAAAAAAAAAAACACCAAAATCAGAGTAGGTGGCAGCCAGGCTGAGCAAAGCTCCCCAGACTTTGAAGCAGGATGTTTGTTGATGTTTGAGAAAGTTTGCTAAATTCACACTTCCCAGAGCTTTTATTTTTTACTATTTCCTTCTAAAAAGTCAAAAACAAAACACACTGACCATATTGTTTGTTGTGTTTGAGTCGGCTCCAACTCATGACAACTTTATTATGGATAACAGAACTAAATTCTGTCCATCCTGGGCCATTTTCATGATTTTGCCTGTTTGAGTCCATTGTGCCCACTGTGCATTTTCCCTCATAATCCACAGGGCTCATCTTCTTGTACTCTCTACTCATTACTATCGAGTCTGAGCTGGCTTATAGCTGACCCTTCGTTGGGTCTCCAAGGCTGTAAATCTCATGAAAGGAGATTGTCGGTCTTTTTCCTGTGGAGCTGCTGGTGGCTAGAGAGGCAGGAAACTCCTTACAGACTAGGCCACCAGATTTCCCTTCTAGGACTTTCTCAGTCAATATTCTGTTGTAACTTTCTCCAGGTTCATAGGGTTTCTGGAGGCAAGCTATTTATGGAAGTGGATGTCACTCCTGCACCCAAGCTTGGGGAGTGCCACCAAACACTATCCCCCATGGGTAACCATTATCGCATTTGACACATTGGTGTCACAGTGTTCAACTTCACAGCAACCACAAGTTACTTCTGTATGGCAAGTGGACACACCAGGGCTACACACAAGGGTTGAGGACTTTCGTTCATAGGGTCGCTATGATTTGCTTATGACTTGATGGCACTTAACAACACAGAGAAAGTCCAGGTGCCCAACGGACCAAAAGCGATGCTACCAAGCCAAACGTGAGTGACTCTAATCCGTGGCCTTCAGGCTAGTTCTTAATTGCTTTTGGTCAAATAGTCTTCTAGGTTGTATAGCCCCGGTGTGTCCACTTGCCCTACAGAGGTAACTTATGGTCGCTGTGAAGCTAAACACTGTGACACTAATGTGTCAAATGTGATAACGGTTACCCACAGTGGACAATGTTTGGTGGCACTCCCCGGTTGAAACAAGCTTGGAAGCGGGAGTGGTATCCACTTCTGTAAATAGCTTGCCTCCAGAAACTCTATGAACCTGGAGAAAGGATGAAAGTCATGCACACAAGTGTCGAGGACTTTAATTCATAGGGTCGCTATGAGTCACTTATGACTCACCGGCACTTAACAACACTTAACAACAACAACAACAACAACAACAACAACATTCTTTTGTAATCTGTACAGTTTTCATTGACTTATTTTTGGAAGTAGATCACCAGGCCTTTCTTCCTAGTCTCTTTTATCTTGGAATATCTGCTGGAGTCTATCATTGGTATCTCTGCTGTTATTTGAAACAATGGTATTATAGCTCTCAGCATTACAGTAGTGCTCTACCGCTACAAGTGACAAGCTGGCATTAGTAGTGAATCTTGAACGGTATGTACTGTAATGAAATGATGCTGGAAAGTCAACAAAACCCCTTTCATTCCTTAGTACAGACCACCCCAATTTGAAAATCTTAGTGAGTACTTTCTTCTCTTAAACATCTCAAATTCTTTTTCACCATGAATCTTAGTTTCTTATGTGTATTTTAGTAAGGTTTTATGCACAGAAGACATCTGTATTTCAGTAAAAATATTGTTATGAAGTATCTGTGACCTTATATCTGCAAGAATACACATAAGAAGAGGACTTGGGACAAAACTGGCAGTTCTTTTGGCCACAAACACTAAACGAAGTAAAGTTAATGATGTGAATTAGAAACAATAGCTCTGATAAAAGCACTGCTTGTATACCAAGCTCTGTGCGTGTTGTTGGATGTAAATTGGCTTCTCTTTATCCCTCTAAGCCTTTTGAGGTCAGAGTTATCCTCATTTTGTGGCTGAGGTTTACAGAGGCTATGTCATCAGTGTTTTCATTCAAGTTTCTTCTCTGAGTTTAGTGTCCTGTTGTCTGGAGTCCAGCGTGGTTGGTCATCTAGAGGGGCTTATCTAGATCTGTTCTATCACTTCATCTCACACACGGGCAGCATGTTGTCAGGAGGGACCAGTCCCTGGCAAGAGATACCAGGCTGGGAAAGATAGATAGAAAGTCAGCGAAAGAGAGGAGGCCCTTCAGCAGGAAGAACTAACACAGTGACTGCAACGGTGTAGGACAAGGCACTGCACAGATCTCTTGTTCATAGGGGCAGTATGAGGTGTGGTTGATGCAGTGTAACTTTTGTCACCAAATCTTAGTCAACCCTTTTGAGTCTCAATCAGAAAGGTCATGTATTGCATCACTGCCGAATCTCATAGCTGACACTCCAGCATGTTTCTGAGGCTGTAAATCATACAGGAGGAAATGACTCATCTTTGTCCTGCAGAGCTGCTGGTGAATTCAGACTGCTAGAGAGATAACTGCCTTTGAGATAACACTGTAGCTCACTAGACCCCCAGAGTTCTGCTGAGGGTCCAATACATGAGTTGTCACGTAATATTATCTTCTGGTGACATTTATTTCACTAAGCTCTTTATGTTGTGCTTCAGAGCGCGCTTCACTCGCACGTGGCCACACCTTCCAAGGGGCAAGCGTGAAGCCCATCCTAGAACCGAGAGGGGTCTTTTCTCTGGCGCGTTCTCCTTGGCCCCCTGCGCAGTAGTATGAGTTCAGGTCTTTTTGAAACAATTTCTTGTTTGTTACTTTTTTAATCTTTTGTATGACTGAATGTGGGATTTTACTGATGGTGATTATTGAGGGAGAGGAACATTGGTTGAGTGATAGGCATTTTCTATACCTTTTTGTAGCTGATTTTCTCAGCCATGGGAGGTCCCTGGGTGGTACAAATGATCAACATACTTGGCTGCAAACCAGAAGTTTAGAGGTCTGAGAGTAGCCAGAGGTGCCATGGAAAAAAGACTTGGTAGTCCACTTTGGGGGGATCAGCTATTGAAAGCCCTGTGGAGTTTGACCTACATGGGTTCCCATGAGCTAGGGCCTGCTTGATGACAACAGCTCTGCTGTAAAGTGCCGATAACATCTCTAGGCTCGACAGGGATGAATAGCTCACCCCAGGTTGTATCATTGCCAGATGTCAGGATAAAAAAATTGAACTTGAGATTGTCAGACCCCAGAGGCCATGTTCTTTCCATCCTGCCACATGCACATTTATGGTTGATGATTTATCATTTTCACTGCTTCAAAAAGGACTGAACCACCGGGACCAGTTAGTACCAGTAAGATACCACTCTTTGCAGGCTTTTCCTGTTTAAGGACCAGGCATAGCCAGGCTATTTGGGCTGTTACACAGTGGAATTTTTCTAAAAGGACCGATTGCCAGGGTAGCTGAGTGAGCTGGCATAGTTATGTGTTCACCGAGCAACTCTGGGTCCAACTTCAGCTCCAGGGCAACGGGGGTAAAAGAGAAGAGTTAGAGCTGCTAACGAAATGCCCTTTCTTCCCCCTGAAAGATCGCTTTGTCTCTTGAACTAAGACTTTTAAGTCCTGCCTTCCTCACTTTCCATCACATGTTTTCTCTTTTTGAATTCTTTTTGTTTCCAGTGATTCCACCACCTGATATCCACATTGATGGCTACAGTGAGAATTCTCTAAGCTTTACCCTGACCATGGATAGTGACATCAAGGTACTGTCCTTTCAAAGTCACAACTGGGCGGGGCTTTCCTTTGTAAGAGAACAGAGACAACACGGCACAGGGAGATGAAGAAAAAAAAAGTGACTTCATCCATTGGGGGAAACTCAAAGACCATAACAAGTTTGGCCCTTCCCCCAGGAGGCATCACATGTAATTATCCTGCCTCAGCCTGGTGCCTTTTTTTTTTTTAAAAAAAAAACCCCTATAATTAAATGATTCACAGCTACAGTGCAAATAAAGAGTCTGCGTTAACAGACTATGTCTGCCCTGTAATTTTCAGCTTTATTGGATTTCCTGGTGCTTAAGTGCTAAAGCGGAGGTTCTCACAGGGATGCACAACCTTCTTGTGAGCTGCTTGGCTATGTGGAAACATATCCACCTGAGATCCTTCTCCTTGGCCCACCTGCATGGCCAGTGTCACCATAGTTACCATTGTCCTTGCTGATCCTCACGTCAGAAGTCAACCCTTCCCTGTACTGTTCCTTCTTGCCTGCTTGTCCCTCTTTGCCTCCCATCCAGCCATCACTTTGGGGCAGGACACAGAGTTTCTAGAGTCTACGTAGCAAGACCACAGCTTATTGTTGTGTTGTTGATTGCCGTCTAGTTGAGCACGCCTCATAGTGACCCTATGAACAAAAGGCTTGAAGCCTTTCTATAATTATCAACGTTTATCAAAGTTCTTAGAGTTTCCAGAGGCATGTTGTTTAGGAAGTGGATGCCACTCCTGCTTCCAAACCTGTCTTAAACTGGAAGCTCCACCAAACACTTCCACCATGGGTAACCATTATGGCATTTGTTACCCCAGTGGCACAAGACCACAGCACCCGTATCAAATTCCGTTTCCAAATCATTTGGTATCATACCCTTGGTATCTGAGAAGGTCGAGGCAAGAGGTGGCCTTAGGTGTACCTTATCTCCAGTCTGTGGAGCAGGATATTCTGTTCCCTATTTCTAGAGCTTTAGATAGATCCTTATAGGAGCTCAGAAGTTGTACCACAAAGACCTTCCTATTGTGTGGCTGTATTTTGTCTTAACACGGTGTGCACTGGCCAGACCCCTTTGCCTTGCCGTCTTGGCCTTGACTGCAGGAAATCATGGGCTGAGGTTTATTTTTCATTATCATTCTCCTTCTCAGGGTCATTGTTCCTTATTCCCTTGTTTCTGCCTTTATTAATTGGCTCTTGTCCTTTGATTTGGTATTCATTTTCTCTGTAGTAGTGAATCTGTATTTTGAATGGCAAACGGACTCACATTTATTTGTGGAATTAGATAGAGTATGTGGAAATGTTACTTGCTGATAGCATAGAAGTAGTTTAAAAATCAGAAGACACCCCGTTTGTTGTAGGAGAAGTGAGCCAGCAGGTGATAGAGAAAGGGGTATGTGCCGTGCTGCTCCGGGTGCTCTGTGACTGTGGAGGTGTTCCTGTAACATATTTCTTGGTTCTTGGCAGGTGAATGGCTACGTGGTGAACCTTTTCTGGGCATTCGACACACACAAACAAGAGAAGAAAACGTTCAACTTCCGAGGAAGTGTCTTGACACACACAGGTAACACCTGGGTGCTGGCCCGTGTGCTCACAGGAAGGAGCAAGGTGTAGACTAGTGCTCCTTGGCAAGGAAGTCCCTGGGGATGCACCTGGTCAGTGCACTTGGCTGTTCCCTGGAAGGATAGCAGGTTGAGCCCATGCAGAGATGTAGTGCCTGGTGATTTACTTGGGGGTGGGTGGGAAATAGCCCTTGAAAGCCCTATGGGATGCACTTCTACTTGGACACACACGGGGTCACCATGAATTGGGATTGGATTGAAAAGGAACTTTTAGGTAATTTCTTCTTGGCATGTGTGCAGTGCTGGGATAGTGATGGAGCTCAGCGTAGTGAAAGTGGGATAGTAGGCAGGTCAATCTGTTGATGGCTACTCAGGTCCCTTCTAACCTGACGACTCTTCATGAAAGTTGAAGGGTAAAAAGGAGGAAGAACTCTCAAGTGGCCAGCTTAACTCCCCACAGATGATTTTGGGGTTAAAGAAAGAGATCCTAGATCTTAGTGACCTATCTGTCACCTCTGGCTTGGTTTGCTCCTGTTTTGCTGATGAATGGTGCATAATTGGTATTAAGTAAATATTTTTGAGTGAATGAACAAGACAAATTTAGGAAGGAAGTGATCCAGCCCCTCTTCCATCCGTGTGAAGACTGAGCCTCCTTTAAAGTTGTCCAATCTGAAAATTTGTTGATAGTAGGATTTTTATTTCAAAGACGAAGGCTTTAGTGGCAAAGCCTGCCTTTGGGTGTCAAGAGTGATACGAAACTTCTGTGTGCACACTCTGCTACCCTGTTTGCAAAGCACTTTCAATCATGCTCATTCAATCCTCATTATAACCTTGTGAAATACAGAGTATGCATTGTCTGTCTCTCTCTGTTTTCTGAAAACACACTAAAACTTAGGGTCTACGAGGTAACTTGCCTAGAAAAGGTACGCAAGAGTAAAAATGACGTTGTGTTCCATTCACCTAGGCAGTCGCTGTATCTTGTTTTAATAGCCATAGTGGTGACTCTGTGGGGCACATCATTTTATAGATGAGAAACTGAGGCTCAGAGGTTAATTTATACACCAGAACTGGAACCCACATTTTTCTAATTCTGAAGCCCATGACTGCCACTGCCTCAGTGCTACACTTGTTAGAAATTGGCAGAATCGAGAACAAAACCCAATTCTTAGCAGCTGTCATCTAAAATGTAGTACCAGCTACCTCTATTTTAACTCGCCTATGTAATAGTTTCACAAGCATTACTATTTTAATCACAGCAACAACCAGCTACCTTGGCTGCAGTTGTTTTAATGAGGAAATAGAGAAGTTCAGCACTTTATCCAAGGTTTACCAAGCAGTGACTCGATACAGCTCCAAAGTATTGAGTCACTTCTTGAACTCAAATCCTTCTAATTCTGGAGATGAGGCTCTTAATATATCATGGCCTTTACTCACTGCTTTTTTATTTTTAAAAATATCCCCCAACCTTCTAAAAATCAAATCCCTATGTACATCAAAAAAACTTCTCCAACAGAGAAAAAAGGGAAGACACAGACTGGGAAAAAAGATTATGTAATGACATCTGATAAGGGACTGATAGCTAGAATTTATAGAATACTCCACAGGAGTATTATGCTCCTGTATATAAATACTCCATAAGAGCACCACAACAAGATAAACAACCCAATTGCAAAATGGGCACAAACACTTTACCAAAGAAGACATTCAGATGACGAACAAACACATGAAGAAATGTTCAAAATCCCTAGCTCTAAGAGAGATGCAAATCAAAACAACTATGAGATATCATCTCACCCCAGTAAGAATAGCAAAATTCAACAGAGCAGCAAACAACAAGCGCTGCTGAGGTTGTGGAGAAATTGGAACCCTTATTCATTGTTGATGGAAGTGTAAAATGGTTCAACTACTATGGAAGGCAATATGGTGCTTTCTCAAATACTTGGAAATAGAAATACCATTTGACCCAGCAATTCCACTACTGGGAGTATACCCTAAAGAAACCAGAACTGCCACCCAAGCAGATATATGCTCACCCATGTTTATCGCTGCTTTGTTCACAATAGCAAAGAGTTGGAGACAACTCAAGTGCCCATCAACAAACAAATGGATAGAGAAGCTGTGGTATATTCATACAATGGAATATTATGCAGCACTGAAAAAAAAACAAAAACAAAAACTCATGAAATAGAATACAAAATGGGTGACCATTAAGAACATTATTGAGTGAAATATCTCAATCACAAAAAAGACAAATACTACATAATGCCACTATTATGAAACAGGAATGACATGAGGGTTGGGGGAAACCAAGAAAAGAGGGGATAAATAATGTACATGGCACTGAAACAGATGCTGGAGAGAACTGTATAAAAGGAATATATGATTAGGTATTATTGGCATGACAAGAGTCCAGAATAAGAGTTGCATAGTAAAGTGGACTGGGTGGGAGAGAGGGAGAGCTATATAATAATGAAAACATTTTTTTCCAAAGGAAAAAGCAAACTGGGCGGAGGGCTGGGAGGAAGATGTGCAGCAATGAATGAATGGAAATCCAAGTTCTCTATAAACTTTCATTAAAATCTCAATTTAAAAAAATTCCCCCAGATTACATGAAAGGAGCACAGATTAGTTGCAGAAAATTTAGAACGCACAGGTGCACACACTCCAAAATGAAAATTTCTCATAATTTTACTTTTCAAAGAAATCATTTTTACATGTCTCATACCTGCTCAGTTAATGCTATTTTCTGTGAAATTACCTTTTTATATACATATGAACTCTGGTGGCCTAGTGATAATAAATTATGCGCCAACTGCAAGGCAGGCAGTTCTAATCCATCATTCACCCAAGAGAGAAAGATAGGCAGTCTCCTCCTGTGTGATTTATCGTCTTTGAAAACCTGCTGGAGGGTCATCACAGGTCGTTTCTGACTTGACGGTACGTAAAAACAGAACTGTGAAGTTTTCCCATTCGATGTTTTTGGAAAACACTATCTAGAATGCAGAATACACATACTAAAGCTTATTTAGCTGTCATAGGACAATCCGATGATGAACACTGACAAGCACAGTGATAAATATCTTTGTTGCACACATCTTTCTGGTCCCTCTTTGATCATATTTTCTAATTAGATTGAAAACTGTGAAGATCTTCAAACCTCTGTTACCCAAGGTCACATGGCTTGCCAGGGATATTGTACCAGTTTATAATCTACATGGTGAGCTAACAGAAATGTCCAGTGTCCCTACAATATTACACTTAGTTGTTGTCAGGTGCCATTGATTCAAATACAACTCATAGTGACCCTGCTGACCTGAACACTGTCCTGTCCTGCACCATCCTCACAATCTCTGACATGGTCAAGCCCATCGCCGCAGCCACTTCTGTCAGTAAATATATGAAATACATTTCTAAGTTTAACAAAGTCCTACAACATGTGAAACTTACCAATATTGAAATACCACATTTTCTTTTTTAAAATGAATTATGTGTGTTATGATACAATTTTTTTTTTTTTTACTAACACCCTCAGCTTACTCCTAGCATCTTTTTGCCCATGTTTTCACAGTTGGCAACCTGACAGCTCATACATCTTATGAGATTTCTGCCTGGGCCAAGACTGACTTGGGGGATAGTCCTCTGGCATTTGAGCATGTCATGACCAAAGGGACTTTCCCACCCGCTCCTAGCCTCAAAGCCAAGGCCATCAATCAGACTGCTGTGGAATGCACTTGGACGGGCCCCAGGAATGTGGTGAGTCGGGCGAGATGACCGAGACAAAGTGAAGCTGGCTTCTCCTCTGATGCTCGGCCACTGGAAAGTCCCGGAACTTTTTCTTTTATTCTGCTTGCTCCTTTTATCACCCTAAACACAAGCTACTCTTTCAGTCAGTTCTAGATTACCTGATAAAGGCATCCCACCCCAGCAACCTTCCTCACACCTTTCCCTGGCATCTGAGAGGTGGAACCCATACTGCTTACTGTACTAGACAGTCTGGGTAAGAAGTGGCATGTTCCTGGACTTGGAAACTGATGGTGATAAGTCAGCATAACTGACCTTAACATACCTTGCCCTCACCTTCCCCCATGCCTTTTCACCTGTGTGACATTAAATTCTTGTACTTATCATGAGACTTTACTAAAAGAGTGAAAGGAGAACCCACACACTGGGAAACGGAGGGAGGGATCTTTGGCAATGATCTATCTTACAAGGATCTGATCTTTAAAATATATTGAAAACTTCAACAACAAAATAACAAACAGGCAAAGGACGTGAATGGAACCCACAGCAAAGAGGAAGTGATCAATAACTCAAAAAGACACTCATGATCATTAGCCATCAGAGAGAAGCAAATCAAAACTAGAGTGTGATACCCTCTCACCTCTGCAAAAATGGTATTGATTAAAAAACCCAGAAAGTAATAAATGCCCACAGGTTCATAGTGAGAGAGAACCTTGCTGGTGGGGTTTTAACAGCACAATATGATTCCCTTTTACCATCTTAAGAGTGTGATATCTTCACGTCTCTGCTCTGCTATCTTCAAAGTCACCTTGTGGCCCAAGAAGAGCCACGCCGTCGTCTGTCTCCTTGCAGATGTAAGGAAGGATAGGCAGCAGGTTCTTTGCCCTTTAAATGAGCCTTCATGTAGGTCCCACATAACCCCTCTGCCTGTATCCTCCCACCAAAACTTGGTTGTGTGACTGACAAGGAGAACCGATACTAGCTCAGCTCGCCCTGTCCACCCTGGCCTCCCTTCACACACGCTCTTCTTGAGCTTCTCCCCCTCACTCTGCAGACCCCACCTCACTCAGCACCTCCACTCAGCACCCGTCTATGACAGGTGGGAGGAAGGCCACTCTGCTTGGTGGCCCTTCGTGTGTCTCTGGCTAGCATAGCATGGGACTCTGTATACTAGGAACATGTTTTATTTATAAGTATCTATTTTTCATTTCTCATTTTTCCTCAGGACAAAACTCTGAAGACCGAGACCATCCCATATTTATCTTTGTAGGTGCTAATACACTATCTAGGACAACACGTCTTCTGTGAATGCTGACAGAGTAAACACTGACGTAGTTTCAAAAGTCTTAATTAAGAGTTTTAAGAGGATGAGGTCATTGGCCAGTGGGCTGACAGCCTTTTCTGTTCTCTGCTTTCACCAGGTTTATGGCATTTTCTATGCTACATCCTTCCTTGACCTCTATTGCAACCCAAAGAGTTTGATGACTCCACTGCACAACAAGACAGTCATTGTCAGCAGGGATGAGCAATATTTGTTTCTGGTAAGCTTCCTGTCTGTGCCATCCGTATGCTCTCAGGTTTGCCTTAGCTCTTGGCCTCCTGGGTCCTGACCCAGCATCTGGGGACCTGAGGGCGCAGGTCCAGACTCCTGCTGCGTGACTTGAGGGCAGCTCCACTGCCTCACAAGCACCTCTTTGAAGCAAAACGACGACTTGACAAACAGCCTCTCTCCTGTGAAGAATTGGTGATTTGGTGAATGAGTCTCAGGGATGCATAAATCAAAAGCTTAGGTCAGATTCCACCTCTGGGAATTTGTACATATGTGCAAAGATGCTTGGTGTGCTATTACTTGTAACAGCAGGAGCTTGGAAACAAATGTTAGAGAGGTCTGGTTAAAGATATTATGGCTTATCCATGCGGTGGAATATTGGGCACCCATCCAAAAGAAATTCAACTCTAAATGCACTGATATGGAAAAATCTCTCAACTGCTTTGCTAAGTGAAAGAAGCAGAGAGCATAATAATGTGTGTACATTTTTCATTTTTTTAAAGAAAAAAATACAGAAAATAGGTTACACACACTGGTATATTTGTATATACATAAATGTGTATACATTTATACACACATATGTATACATAATACAGATAAACATATGTTTGCATTTATACATGTGCCCTCATAGATGTATATGTGCACATTCATATGTTTGCATTATGTATATATGTACAACCCCCTTCACTGGCATTATATGTGGTCAGGCATTTCTGGAATGAAGCTATTTCTAGGAATGAAACTATCCCTAGTAGTGGCTGAGAAAATGAATTAGAGACCTCTGTGAGGTTTTACATGTTCTGTCTTTTTTCACTGTTATTCCACTGTTTGCCTCTGTTTTGTGAATAAAACTGTTTAGTAGCATTGTTTAAAGCCCGCACAGTGTTTATTTCCTATGCATGCTTGCCCCAGGTCCGCGTGGTGGTGCCCTACATAGGGCCATCGTCCGACCATGTTGTTGTGAAGATGATCCCGGACAGCAGGCTGCCGCCCCGTCACCTGCATGCAGTGCACACAGGCAAAACCTCAGCCGTCATCAAGTGGGAGTCCCCATACGACTCTCCTGACCAAGACCTGGTGAGTGAGCAGGCATCCGGTAGCCTTGCTTATCCTTGGGGTGGGTGGAGGGGCCGAACAGGACAAGAAACGTAGACCTAGTGGCTGGAACAACTGCCTAAGTCTATCTGGTCACATACAAGATATAAGAGTCCTTATAACTGACCAGCTGTCATGAGCCAATCCTGACTCGTGGTGATCCTGTATCTGTCAGAACACAGCATTACTCTACGGGGTTTTCATTGAATAATGAAGATCACTAGGCCTTTTCTTCTGAGGCACCTCTGAATAAACTCATAGAGGCTTCTTTGAGCCAACACTTCTTAGTTATGCTCAGCTGTCATACTGAGTAGTCATTTGTCCCTCCATCCTTTCTGCCCTAACCCATCCCCTCCCTGGCTCGGCAGTCACCTTACTATGGCTTGTAGACCAAATGCAGCCTGTTTCATTTTCTTTTCCTTAAGAGAGTCTTATTGGAACCAACCAACACCTGTTGGCTTGTGTATTGCCTGTGGCTCCTTTTATGCTCTCGTGGAGTTGAGTGGTTGTGATGAAGCCCATCTGGCCAGCAAAACCTGAAATATTTACTGCCCAGCCCCTTACAATAAAAGTTTGCTGACCTCGGCTAAAAAGGCAGGGCATTGGTTTTAGAACATGACTCCCTGTTTCCATTTCTCTGAGCTGCTTTTTACTCCACCTTTGATAGAGTGGTGGACTTTCAGATGTCTGATTATGCTGGTCAGTAGGAAAACTCTTCTGTATTCTGTTTTTCTTCATGTTTGAGTTTCTAGGGCCTATTGTGTATTTCTTTATTTTTCTCTTGCCCGGATACTAAGAACCAAGTACACTTTCCCGTCCGTTAGAGCCATTACTAAACACTTCCCTGTTCTTTCCTAACAATATTCTCGAATGATGCCAGTGAAGGAGATAATGGAACTAAACTCTAAATTTTGGATTTTCTTAACCTGCTCCAACCTACATGCTGATATCACAATTAATGTGACTTTCCCTGGAGTTAATTTTTGCATTTAAAGGATCATCATATACACAGATCTATGAATGTATATTTGTTAAAAGGTTTGACTTGGCCAGTCCAAAGGACGGAGTCAGACATTGGAGCTTAGGATTGTGTTATTGTGTTAACAGCCACTGATGAATGCAGGCGACACTGCCCATGTAAAGAGTTGAAACTACAAAGCATTTAAATACCCTTAAGATGGCTTTTCCCTTGTTTTAGTTATATGCAATTGCAGTTAAAGATCTAATAAGAAAGACCGACCGGAGCTACAAAGTTAAGTCCCGCAACAGTACCGTGGAATACACCCTTAACAAGTTAGAGCCTGGAGGGAAGTACCACGTGGTTGTCCAGCTGGGGAACATGAGCAAAGATTCCAGTATAAAAATCACCACAGGTGAGCAGCAGAGTGACTTCTCTCCCTTCCTGCCCTGGGGACTCCCACGGGGCTACTGGAGCCTGGATACAGGCCCTTTCTCCACAGGCTTGAGAGGGAAGGACACATACTTCGCACTGCATCCCCCATTGGGGCAGGACAGTGAAGGGTCCAAGTAGTCTGGGCTGCAGTGTGTTGGCCCTTGTGCTCTAGACTAGCAATGGCTGGTGCTTCCCACAGACTCTCTCCTAGGCTCTCCCCTATCTGTTCTGATATTACTCAGGCAGAAAAAGAGAACGCCTGAGAGTTAGGAAATAAAACTGAAGACTTGCCAGTCAGGCCAAGCATAGCATCTGGGGACCTTTCTGAAATCATGGTGGCTTCTTGTGGCAATATGACACATAGAAATGGAAAGGGATCAACCAGTAACTGGGCAGTAATTAGCAGCCTGGCTCTCCTGCATGCTCAAGTTCAGAGTACATGGAGCACAACCAGCTGTTTGGACAGCAGTCAAGTTTTCTGTAATGGACGTTCTGTCCTATGTTCCCAGGCCATCATCAGCTGCCCCTCCACTGTTCTGTCTGCAGGCAGAGCTCTGTAGATCAGAGGTTCCTCTGTCTCTGGTGACAGGACTAAGGAGGACTGAAAAATGGACAGGGAGCCAGAACTAGCACCTGGCAGATGGCAGGACATGCCCATAAGCAAGTACCTTGAACTTGCTAAAGTTGTTTTAACAGGAATACAGTAGGTACATGATGAAGAATATCAACCAGGCGCTAGGTTCTTTACTGACCATTGTACATACTTGCATGCCTTTCTCATTCCAGTCCTTCAGGGTTAATGCTACTGTCTTCCCTTCTTTCACAGACAAGAAAATGCAGGTTTAAATTTGTATCCACTAACTGTATCTTATCTTAATTTTCAGTTTCGTTATCAGCACCTGATGCCTTAAAAATTATAACAGAAAACGATCACATTCTTCTGTTTTGGAAAAGTCTAGCTTTAAAGGAAAAGCATTTTAATGAAAGCAGGGTAAGTTCTTCCCTTATTCTTCATTCTCCGTGAAAATGCTCACAATGCTGAAAGAAGTCCCTCCACTTCACAACTCCGATGGAGAAACAGTTGTTGTTGCTAGGTGCCATTGAATCACATAGTGACCCTGTGAACAACAAATCTGAACCCTGTCCTATCCTGTGCCAGCCTCTCATTCTTTTAGATAGTCTTGGGCAGTCGCTGTGTCAGGCTGTCTGATTGAGGGTCTTCCTCTCTTTCACTAACCCTCTACCTGGTTGTGTTGTTAGGAGAGGCTGTTTGATGGTGAGGAAGATCATGCTTGGAAAGGTAAAGGGTTAGCAAAAGAGAGAAACAGCATCCTTAAAGTTAAAGTGTGCTTTCAAATAAATGCAGAACACTGAAAATCTTCATTTTGGAAAAAAAATAACCCCAAACCCAATAACAACTACAGGTGGCAGAGTAAGACATTTCAGCATCAGAAAGTAAAAGCAGAAAATGTTTATTCCCTTCAGTAGTTTTAGTAACAAAAAGATAGCACTTTCTAGAAAACATTAAATTAGCAAAGATTCCATTCAGATGTCTCTACAGCTCTTTGGTAATGTGGATCCAAATCATTGAAGGTTCACATCCTTCAATTCTGAAATGCTCCTAGAAGTTTAAAGAAGCAACAACGTGTATAAAGCATTCATGCATAGACTGATCAGCCGAGTATTTGTGATTAACAAGAAATCAGAGATAACCTGAAAGTCCAACAGGACTTGTTAAGTAAATTATGAGTGGTTGATGTTTATATAATTAAAATGTTCTTTATACCTGTAGGTATTTTGTAAATAGTCTATATTATAACAAATGTATATTGTATAGAAAGCAGTAAGTGCTAGTTTATTTAAAGATACACACATGGACAAATAGGATTTCAAGGGAGTGGTGTGGGGTGGCCCAGTTTGGCAGCCTTGTGACCTAAGGGGGCCTTTGTGGGTGGCAGAAGCCCAAGGGTTTAGGTTGAGGTGCAGATCTGAATTCCATTCCTAGCAGAGAGCCCTGGCTTGAACATGGCATGTCATTCTTCCCTCTTCTATCTTACCTTATTGTGAGTTCAGAGGTAAGGTAAGTCAACAGAATGGGGATGAAAAGATCAAAACTGTGAACGTGATGTTACTGGGAGATCGGGCATGTAGTCTATTGGAGAGTCAAGGTGGCTGGGGATTGTCACTGAAATACTTGGAGAAAAGCAGAAAGGTCCAGTGCCAGCATCCCCCTCTGATCTGTGTCAACCTCCCTGATCAGGATGGTGCCTGGAGTGACTTGTCTCAGCCCAAGAGCCTGGGATTTTTCCTGAGACAGTCCTACTTGCAAGAAATTGAGTATAGGCTCCTCCAGTAATTAGAGGCCCGCACCTGCTCAGGAACGTCTTAGTTCACGGCGTAGGACTGGGCGGCATCATGTCGGGTGGTGTATGAGGTCAGCATGAGCTGGGGACAACGACAGCAGCTTGAGACAAGGGAACGGCTATTTGGAACTTTAGGCACCAAAATATTTAAGAAAATGGATTTTTTAAAGGCTTTATTATTCATTTGTACTGTTCAGTTCTTAAGTGGATGAAGTTATTTGGGATGAGAAAATTTCTACTTTCAGAATCCAGTATCTCAGTTGTTATGTAAAAAGGACTCTCACTCACTTGTTGCTTCAAGACAAAACACACTCAAAGCTAATTGTTGTTTGAGTTTCTGAGTTTGTAAATTGTGTGAGAGGAGCTGCCCATTTCCTCCCTCGGTGCTGCAGGTAGATTCAGCCGTTAGATTGATTGGGTGAGCAGCGTGACTCCTTCTGGGTTCCAGCCCCGGAGTTCCCAGTAAAAAGGACTTCCATTCATTGCTGTCGAGGTGGAACTGACTCAAGGCTGACCCTATAGTGTGTATTCAAAGACTTAAAATTGCATGGAAGGAAGTTGTCCATCTTTCTCCTGCAGTAGATTAGAAGTGGCAGCTGGTAGATGAGAACTGCCTGCCTTTGGATTAGCAACACAACTCCTTATTCACGAGGCCCCAGAGCATCAAAGTATCCAGTGAAATCCTGCTAGGAATGAAGGTACCCGTCGCCTTGTTCAGAGTTCTGAGCAATCCTCTGTGTGTCTGTTTGCAGGGCTATGAGATACACATGTTTGATAGTGCCATGAATATCTCAGTTTACCTTGGGAATACCACTGACAATTTCTTTAAAATTACCAATCTGAAGATGGGTCATAATTATACTTTCACTGTCCAAGCAAAATGCCTGTTTGGGAGCCAGATCTGCGGAGAGCCTGCCATCCTGCTGTATGACGACTTGGGAACTGGTAAGTCCCTGTGGTCCACAGGGTTTGATGAGCAGGTAGCTTTACAGAAAAAGGTTAAAGTGTTCTCTCAGGTCAGGAAAAATATCATTTGTAGACCAATTTAATCAGTCACTGATTTAACCAATAACAAAGGATGTTCCTGCGCCAGGCATGGTCAAGGGTAGGAGGGTGACAAAGGTGACCACATTCTGAATGTGTGGGAGAAGAAAGGCAAAGGCTAATAGGAATCTGTAGAGATGCATCTCCTCCCTGTTATGGAAGCTGTCAGCCCCCTTATGCTGATAGAAGATCAAGACCAGAGTGGAATCCAGGATCTCCATCTTAGCTCTGGAACATGGTGTTGATACCACACTATTATTACAGAGAAAATTAGTCCAGTTACATATCATTATAGCTTGCCCCAAATTTCAAAAGCCATAATTCTACAGGTCTTCTTAGTTCTCCTTACTCCAAGCAGGTACAAAGTCGTGTCAGGTCCCTGTGGTGTCTTAGATTCCCTGGCATGTTCCAGGTTCTCCGTGCAGCGGGCTAACCCTTCACACCTGAAAAGGCTCTTAAGTCTGTTAGCCTTTTAGAGGCTCTGTGGACTTCTACCAGAAGGCACCACAATGCTTGTTAACACAGTGTTTCCTTAAAAAGAAACCAAAAGCAAGCAAACTGCCTGTTGCCATCAAATTGATTCATCCTCCTCCTCATGGCAGACCATGTATGCCATATGGAATTATTCAGTGTGTTTTCAAGATTGGGTCTTATAGCAGCAGATGGCCAGACTTTTCTTCCAAGGTTCCTCTGGTAGACTCAAACCACCAGTGTTTTGGTTAGTAGTCAAGCACTTAGTCATGTGTGTCACCAGATGTACCGTTTCCCAAACAGAGTCCTCTTTTTCAGCAGAACCAATAACAACCAGTGTAACATACTTTGAGGGAAAAACTTTTGTGAGGACAACTGCTTTATAGAACTAGGACTGTTAGGCTGTCTTCAGAGAGAGCACACGGCTTCCACCTGGCCCAGGCAGCACGTCTTCCCTTCCTGGGAATGCCCTCCTCAAAGGGACCTATATCCGGGAGGGTTCACACAAGGTCCTCAGCCAAGAACTCCCTCCTGAGTTCTACTTACCTGCCTTAAGCTCAACCTTATTGCAGGATCTTAACATGAAAAGTGTGCCTTTCAAGGAGACTGGTCCCCAACTCAGTATGGTGTGACTTAGCCATGGAGCCACTACAGGACAAACCTGTCATTAACCATGTGATACAGTGAACACCTAACACAAAGGGGAAGGGACATCACTGTACATTAAAGCACTTAAGTGGCTTTGTGAAAAAACCTCATTGTCATTGAGTCCAGTTAGGCTCTTGAGGACCCTCCACCTGATTTCCAGTGGAGTTTGTGCTTATGGGAGGAGACTGCCTCTTGCTTTCACTAATGGAGCTGCTATTGGATTTGAAATGTGGACATTTCATTAGCAGTTCAACATGTAGTATGTCACCCAGACCGAACCTGTCCCCTTAATGTGAATTCCGATCCATAGCGACCCTCCACTAGGCTTCCATGGTCGCAGGTATTTATGTGGTGGAGATTGCCAGTTTTTCTCCGTCAGAGCAGCTGGTGGACTCGAAACCCTGACCTTTCAGATAGCAGTGTACCTTGTAACACACTACGCCACCAGAATTCCTTTTACTACACTGCCAAGGCTCCTTTAAGTGCCTTTGCAAAGAGCTTTGGAAATGTCAAAGGTGGATACTCTCGCTCTCTTATTTAAGTAAAATACCTCATAAAACTTCATGAGCTGTTAAGTCAGTGTTCTAGTAAAGGAATCTTGTTTGTATCACTGAATTGAGCTTCAGGTAATTGCAGTTCAGAGTGAGTTTGGTGCCAAGTGAGGGAAAATAATTGCAATCTCATTAATTAGTGGTCTGATTCTACATCCTCTTATGTAAGGCAAGCAAGTGGTCTTAAGTAGTAATGCTAATGAAGTCAGTGTTGATACCGCAACAAAGGTCTCCCTTCCAGGAGATTATCTAAATAACCAACAAGGCAGTGATTTGGAGTCTAATGTAATTACCGAATTTGCAAGCACAAGGCCCGTGGTCTCTCAGCGCATGGCAGGTAGGCAGGAGTCATCCAGTCTCTGTACAGGAAGGTGCCACAACCAGGGAGGTGGCCTGGGTGAAATCAGTTGCTGAGGAGTTGACTGCAGTTCCTGATGACCCCATGTGTGTCACAGCAGAACTGAAATCCATTGACTTTACAAGTGGCTGATTTTTCCCCAAAGTCAAGCTTCTCATCTAAGTTTCCGCTGGGTAAACTCCAGACTCTGGCCTTTTGATTAGCACCTGGGCATGTTACCTGTTTGCACCAAGTACTTGAGTTGGGTAGCTTTTTTGGTGGGTGTGGTACTTGGGTAGGAGGCTTATCTGTGGGGATCTTATCTTGGCAGGTGCCAACGTGTCAGCCTTTCAGGCTGCCAGATCGACCGATGTGGCTGCCGTGGTGGTGCCCATCCTGTTCCTCATCCTGCTGAGCCTGGGCATCGGCTTTGCCGTCCTGTACATGAAGCACCGGAGGCTGCAAAGCAGCTTCACTGCATTCGCCAACAGCCACTACAGTTCTCGGCTGGGCTCCGCTATCTTCTCCTCAGGGGATGACCTGGGTAAGTGGGCAGCGGAGTTGCTTCTTCCTTCCCAGTGGGTCACACAGAGCCAGAATAGGAAACACCTACCTCAAGGCCGACCGTGGGTACTTCAGCCTTTACTTCATTTCCACTGCATCAGGGTACACACACCAGTTAGATACCCTAGAGTTTAACTCAGGTTAATATCAATGCTCTTTCAACAGTCTAGTTATGAGATAGTGTCTTCCTAGAAATAATAATAGCACAAAGTAGGTGATTTTAACAAGAAATGTATTGCCTCATAGTTTAGGAGACTAGATGTGTCTACATTGGGGATCACCTTGTAGGAGAGGGTCCTTTCTTAGGCCTGAGTGGATCTTGGCTTATGGGCAGCTCTGCATCTTTGTGATCTCTCTGTGATCTTTCCCCCTCTGAGTATGTTCCAACATCCTTTTTATTAGACACTACCTTGCTCAGGAATGTCCCATTAACATAAGAGAGAATCCATATTTCTAAACCAGGTCACATTCGCAGGCCCAGCTGATGAAATTTCAACACATATTTTTTGGGTATATGATTACATCCATAACAGATTGGAGTGATTTTATAACGTTGTAGGAGTTTTCTTTGTTCAGGAAGGGAAGGGAAATCCTGACGTAGACTGTTTGTACAGTATTGGAAGATTTCCATCCTGCTCTCGCCTTTGCAGACTCTTGGGCATCTCTGGAGATCCTATTGTTATTTGTCATCAAGCTGATTTGATTCACAGTGACCCCATGTGACAGAAGAGAACTGATCCATAGTGTTTCTTTAATGAGAGTGGCTAGGGGTTTAAACTGCTGTCCTTCTGATTAGCAGCCAAACACTTAACCTTAATGCCACCTGGGTTTCTCCTAAAGGTCCTAGATCAGAGAAGTAATGGTTTCCCATAAGCTCCTATGAGAAGATGCCTTTCCTGTCTTATTATTTTTCCTTATGGTTGCCTGTGTAATCTCACCAAGCTCTCTTATTTTGTGGTTAATAACAAATAGCATGGGGGAAAAAGAAATCTTTCTCTTAGAAATGTCTGAACACTCAGATTGCTGAAACAACCTACATAATAAAATTAGAATGTTAAAAGGCTTCCTGAAGCCCAGATTGGTGCATGTGAGTTTGAATATTTCTTTTCTCAGTAAGACTAGCTACGGTTGCGTTTTTTTGTTCATAGAGACTTCTGTGTTCACATTTATCATTCAGTTGTTATTAACTTTGCTTGCTTTTCTTCTCACTTTCTTACTTACTTGGACAGGAGTCTGTGGTTTTGAGAGGCAGGGAGCCCATGAGTCTGAGGACCATGAGCCTGGGAAACTGACCTTAGAAAACGAAATCCTTTCAAGATCCTTTTACTAAGAGAAATGTGGATTCAAAAGAGAAAGTGGACAATGAATTGTGCTAATGTAGGGTGTTGTTGTTGCATGCCCTTAGCTCCCAAAATGGCCCATAGCTGACCCTCCAGGCGGCTTTCAGAGGCAGTAAATCACACAGGTGGAGACTGCTCGTTCTTCTCCCACAGAGCAGCTGGTAGATTCAAACTGACTGCCTTTGGGATTACAGCACAGCTTCTTACCACTAGACCACCAGAATTGGTGCACTATGTATGGTGTGGGTCACTCCAACAGGTGAATCCAAGGCATACTTTCAGTTCTTGAGATAGCTCAATGAGATGCTTCTTCCTACAAAATTTGCTTCCCATATTTGGCCAAGCCCAAACTTTCACAAAAGTACATTTTTGTCCATCTGTTGATGAAGAGAGTGACCCAAGAGAAGCAGCAGAGGGAAGCTGGGCTGGGTTTCTGCATTGATGGTGGTGCCTGGCTGGCTGTGGTGTTGACTTTCCCCATTGAGAGCTGTGATGGGTCACTGGGGAGCTGGATGGAGGGGCAAAAGGGTGGGACATGGTGTCTGGCAAAGTGTACCAACTGGAACTCACCAAACGCTGACTCTTTTGCCTTTAGGAGAGGATGATGAAGATGCTCCCATGATCACTGGATTTTCAGATGATGTCCCCATGGTGATAGCCTGAAAGAGCTTTCCTCTCTAGAAACCAAATGGTGTAAATATTTTATTTGATATAGTTGATGGTTTATTTTAAAAAATGCACTTTGAGTTGCAATATGTTATTTTTATATGGGCCAAAAACAAAACAAAACAAAAAGAAAAACAAAAAAAGGAAAGAAACAAATGAATAAACTTTGTAGTGATCAACTGTGAACTTCAAACCAGGTTGATTTTAGTAACCAAACTGCTTTGATTTGATATTAATGTAGTCTTGCAGGGCTGTGCTTGCTGGGCATGCTTTTAAGTCTGTGAGATCATTGCGGCTCAGTAAATCAACCATCCTTTTTATTTTTCTAAGATACAGAAATGTATTTAATAAAACCTTCAAGAGAGTGTGGTGAGGGGGAAATCCCTTCTTGAAGGTGTGTATGATCAACTCTTTAAATTTTGTTTGGGTTTGGTTTACATGTAAGCATTTGGGGATATCATGGGGAAGACTCTTTTATGTTATTTTGTTAATTTATTGGGACTGTGTTGAAGGCCAGGCTTCAGTGGTCATCTGGCACCCCACATGTACAAGCCTCTCACCCATAGGATTGAGGGGAGCAGGGCACAGAAGCATTGTTACTGCCATTCCAGAAGCATCTACTTAATCAATGTGCTTGTCACGTAATGGGGTTTGATAGGAGAGATCACCAAGTTCAGCAGAGCTACAAGAAGCCCTGCAGGCCCACAACTTCCTCTTTTCTTCTATTAATTGATGGAAACTCACTGTATATGCTTCTGTCCAAGACATAGCCTTGGCAGCAGCAACATGCTAACACTGCTTTATTATATACACTGGTGTAATTGTCATTGCAAACATCTCTCTGGTTGTGGGAGAGAGTGCTGAGATCCATGCCGCCATGTGACTAATAGATGCACTGGCAAATAGAGAACCTAAGTTTTCCATTGCAAATTTGTTCTTTTTTAAAACTGAAGAATCACGAATGTAAGATTTTGTATTTGGGTTTGAGGTGGCCATTCCTCATCCTTAAAAAAAAAATCATACTGATATATGCAGTCATTTTAAATGGGGTCAGTGCCTTCTAATTTCTTTGTCCTTTTCTTCTACCTTCCCTCCTCTTGCCCCTAAGTTGTCTAAAGGGAAAGTGCTGTTCACTGTCACAGAGACAACTGATAAATCTGAGGCCACTGTTTTCATTTAGCCCTAGAGTTGATTCATTGAATCTTCCTGCAAAATAAGCTGTGCATTTTCTTCTACCTTGAAAACACTGCAGTCATATTCAGGTGTTGGCCACTCGATTGGTTCTATTGGATCCATGTGGCCAGTGCCCACTCTTTAAATGGAGTCTTGCAGGTACCAAGGTCTAGTATTGTTGTGACTCAGCTGTGACTCTCATTGCAAAATGTCTCCCTGCTGAGAAGCAGGGAGCTCTGGGAATAGTCCACAGTCCTGCCTCTGAATGAATGTCCTTGAAATGCAAGCCGTGTGACCCTTCTTTCTCCCTTCTCACAAGTGTTTGGTTTCTTTTGACCAAAAGTATCATTCTTAGGTGATAAAATAGTTGTGTTTGGTTCTAGGGACTGTTTGGGAAACAAAAATAGAGAGCCAATTACATTTTTTCAGGTATGTGGGGTTCTTTTGTTTGTTTAAGATAAGTAGTCAAAATTCAGTATAGTATGTGAGTAGGGCTTTTGTTTGGGATTTTTATTTCAACAAGCAGCTGCCATGATGAATCTACTTTCAGCATATTTTCCTCCTCTCTCTCTTGTTCATCCTCTTCTTTTTCTTCTTCTCTGCCCTGCCCACAGCCCCTTTTGTTAAAGATTGAAAGTTCCATGTCTTTTCTCGGCTTGCTTTCGAGTTTGCTATAAAACTCCAGGCCCAGCCACCTTTCCTCTAATGAGTTTTAGCTGAAAGATGGCAAAGCCTGTGGTAAGCAAGCCATTTCTCTGAACCACTAGAAAGTCTTCTGTTCTTCTTTGTTCTGCCAACTTTTTTAATGACATTTGTAGAAGCTAGTGTAGGCTCCAAGACATGATTTTTCAGTTCTCCCACAGAGCTTTTTAATGGAGTGCATGTCTCCAGTTGGCAATCTGAGATACTTTAGAGAATCAAGTTCTAGTTTCCAGTGCCTCCCCATGCTCTGTGCACAGTACTGTATAGACTGACCATCACCTCTCTCCTCAGAAAATGCCACTGTGTCGTTTGAGAAAAAGCAGCCTTTTAGGGCCAAAGTATTTTCTATACACAGAAGAACTAAGTTCCTGAAGACTAGATAGATGCAGCTATGTGTAAATTGTATATTTTTATGAACTTGTGAAGCACGCACTCTTTTCCCCTCCCCTCTGTGTAGTTTTGTGGAATTTCAATGTGTAGTTACTGTCTGCAAGCATCCAGAGGTTGGAGTGACAATAGAAAATGAAAACAAAGACTGTATTCAGCCTTCCAAGGGAACCAAATAATTGTCTTTACATTGGAGCCCCAGTTAACTTACGAAGAAAGGAGTTTGGAAGCTCATTGGAGATGCCATCTCTGTAAGGCAGGTGCAGAGAAAGGCCTTTATTCCCTTCTGGGGACGCTAGACACTCAGGCCCAAGACATGTTAGGCCCACTAACATTGAAAGGGCAGGGACTGTGTATGTGAGTGTGTGTTTTCTCTGGAAGTCAATTTTTTCTCCTTTATGCATTGATGCCCCCTGGGCTTTATGAGACACGGGTACATTGAGAATTCTGCAGGGGATTCCAGGGAGAAACCCAGTCTACACAGGCCTGCTTCTAGACAAAGAGCTCCAGCAACCCAGCCATCGAGAGAAAATTGTTAAGATGCTGGGTGACCAGGTGAAAGTTCTAGCTTTTGGAAAAGTGGTGCCTGGGGCTGGTCTCATCTCTCAATGTATATTTGAGCAGAACAGCCATGAAGCATAACAGCTTCCTATTCGGTTTTGTAGGTAACTGTGTATTCAACAAAGATGGAATGTAGCCTTTTCTCAAAGCAATGGGCATTGTGATGAGGGGATCTGGGGAGATTGATTGTTCAATGAGGACTTCATAGATAAGCACTACTTCTTTGTCCAAATCCTGCCTTCAGTCACCACCCCTTGGTCACTCCATATATTAAAATTCTGTCTAGTTCTTCCTCATGAACAGAAACCCCAACCTGTCAGGTTTTGCTCAGCCATTTGTCCAGTAGGGACAAATGATGAATCTCCAAGAAAAATGTCCTCTTTGACAGAGGACATTTAAGAAGAAAGCTAGGATTATAACCAAACTGGAACACCACCACCACCACGCCCCCCACTATTGGTACTAAGAATTTACTTCAAAACAGCAGACCCTTCATTTCTTCACTGATGTTGGGATTGTATCTTGACATTCATATTATGTTATTTTCCTTAACTGGAGTGTGTGCTGCCTTTCAGGTACAATTTTTTTGTAATAAAGCCAGTGCATTATGTTTCTATAGACTACTTTCTATGCAAGACTGAGATATGGAATAGCTAGCAAATGATTAAGTGGCATTGGGTACATGGGCAATAAATATGCCCTCAGGAAGGATCCCACCACCTGCCATGGTAAAGGGAGGATGGATTGTGTATAGGTTTCTGCCCACTACTAATTTTGAGCAGTCATGTTATTAATTAAATCATCGCAGCCAAGGAACCCAAGAATGGTTTAATTTCATGTGTAATTGCTCGATCAGAAGCTGCATGAATGCTGAAGTGGAACCTTAATTTCTGGATATTCCATGTGACTTCTCACTAAAAGACATTTTATGACTTACTAGAAACTTGGGGCAAATTTGGAAGTATTTGCAGCAAAGTGAAGTCCGACTCTGCTCGTATGTAAAGTGAAACACTGTACACTTGTTTATTTCTCGAAAGTGAAATTAGATCTTTTTCATTTCAATTGCCTTGTTAAGTTTTCAAGTCACAGATTTCTGCTGCAGATTTTATCCTATTGTTGCAAATTTCAAGATGATTTTTGTCTCAATGTCAACTTTTTTCACTGAATAAAAATTGAACGGGGTCAAGAAAAACCATCTATTTAAAAAATCCACCTTATGCGTGTCTTGAGTTGTTCTTTTGAGTGCAATAAAGATGCCTGATCCAGTATCTGAATGTCATTTGATTTGTCTGTTGTAAAAGGATGTTTATTTCATTGATGAAGGAATACTCAGTCCTAGAATAATTGTGTTGTTAACAAGCTGGTCACTGAGGGTGGATCCTTGAGGAACTTGCTGTCTTTGTGTGGCTGTGGAGGAGATGTGGGTGGTGGTGGTTTTGAAATTAAGTGGAATTATTCCACAGGAAGCAATGACGGGAGTGACTCTGTTAATGCTGTTAGCACATTGACTAAGAGATAAATGGCTAAGAAGGCAGTTTTCAGATGTAAAAGAAGAAAACATAGTTGTCAAATGATGTTGTGTGACACAGAGTATACCTCCACAGACAAGGAAGTCTTAGAAGGAAAGCAGCATTTAATACTTAAGTGTGTCAAAGGTAAGTGGACCCAGGAGTTGGGCTTGGAGAGTCTGAAACGGAGTGAGGGGAGAAGGCTTTGTGAATGTAAGAGGTCTCCTGGAGTGGCGCTTTTATTTAGATATTACAAAATAGAATACTAGATATCAACCTGGGTTATAGATGCCAATTAAGTTACCCAGGCCAAGTGGTTTGCTGGGGGGAGGTCAGATAATAAATGACAAATCATTCTATTTGACATTATTTTTTTTATTGGTTGGTTTACAAAAATAATATACCTTGTTTCCTCTATTCATTCACATTGTGTTTCATACAATCATTCTCATGCATTATGTTTTATAAAAATAATGGAATAAATGGTTGTTTGAAATGCAATGTAAATGAAAAGTTATATAAAGCACAATGTATATGAATGAAACATAATGGAATTATATAAAAAACCAATAAAAAATATTTTAAAAATAAATTAATGACAAATCAGCCTCCATATACTCATTGTTACCAGAAGTTCCTTATGATGTTCCGTGTGACTGTGTCACA